TGTAAGCAACTATTTTTAAGGATGAAGCACCCGAAGGGCAAAATTAGAACCAAAATATCTGGTGAGCACCTTGAGACTTGCTACCACATCCATTGGACCAGATATTAATGTGTTAGTTCTCAAAAACAGTGTCAAATATCTCTCTAGTTTTAGGTTGCCCTCAGATATGTACATTATCAGTGATCGTTAACATGATCAGTTATCCTTATTGTTAGTATATTTTCTGTGTGATGATGAGGAAGGTCAAAGGTTGAACACTCCTGCCCTAAAGTATACCTTTACTCTTCACCTGACACCACTTAACCCACTAACCTAGCCTTAACCCTAACAGTTAAATCTAGGTTTTCACCGATCTAGGTTAAATCTAGGTTTTCACCAACCAACTTGTTTTTTTTCAACCTAAACATTATGCCTAAATGTATCTCTTACACTTCCACGTTGCCTTAACCTCACATTGTACCATATCCTCATGGTACCGAAAGTTACCAGCTACGATCTCCTATTGCTGAAAAGTTACTGATTTCCATTATTATCAAATGACTAAAAGATATTAGAAATAATTTGTTGATTACCATTCCTTCCAATTTTGGAAATGTGAAAATTCAGTGTTAAAATGTTGGACTACGTTGAAATAACATGCTAAAACAGAATCAGCAGTTTTTGTAAGAACCCCTTATAAATTAGACCACTTCTTTCATTTCTAAATTGATTACCTTAGAAGAACATTGAGTCCTTTCCACAGAGAGATAACAACTGTGGATTTTACCAAAGCAATGTGATCATTATCTAAGACAAATAAAGAATGTGGCCAATTTAGAAATTAGTTTCCAACATTTCTCTCTCTTTAGCCACAAGTGAAAAGTCACAAAGCCTTGGACGTTTTTGTATGTAGCATTACCTATGAACTATATATATAATCCTTGTAATAGTTTCTCCCATAACAAGTAGCCACATTTGCTAAAGATAAGGGATGGAGCACTGAACCAATAAACCTGGAGCCAATAATAAATGTGTCTCAGCTCTTCAGACAGAAAGCATCTATCCTGTGGCTGTGTGATCACTCTAAACAACTGTATAAATAAATGATCCTTTCACACACTTTTACCTTATTTATACCTTCTATAATGCCTTATGCTGTCTCGCCATCTTATTTATCTTGGATAAATGCTATACTGGCTATGAGGTAAATTAAATGCTACTAATATATACAGCAGCATCTCAATAAATTAGAATATCATCAAAAAGTTATTTTATTTTACTAATGCAAATCAAAAAGTGAAACTCATACATTATATAGATTCATTACACACAGATTGATATATTTCAAGCATTTCTTTCTTTTAATTTTGATGAGTGTGGCTTACAGCTAGTGAAAACCCCAAATTCAGTATCTCAGAAAATTATAATATTACATAAAAAAGACCAAGACCAAAAAAGGATTTTTAATACAGAAATGTTTGCTTACTGAAAAGTATGTCCATTTACAGTATAGTATGCACTCAATACTTGGTCGGGGCTCCTTTTGCATGAATTACTGCATCAGTGCGGCATGGCATGAAGGCAATCAGCCTGTGGCACTACTGGGGTGTTATGGTAGCCCAGGTTGCTTTGATAGTGGCCTTCAGCTCATCTGCATTGCTGGGTCTGGTGCAGGGGTGGACTGACCATTCGAGCACTTGGGCACTGCCCGAGGGCCTGGGGTCAGTAGGGGGCCCCATGAGATGCCCCTGGTACCTTTCATTGACTTTTTCATAGTTTTTTTTTGGGTGTGAACAAGGACACAGGGGCCCTATGGTCCCCGATTGCCCGGGGGCCCCATGAGTTGTCAGTCCACCCCTGGTCTGGTGTCTCTCATCTTCCTCTTGACAATACCCCACAGATTCTCTATGGGATTTAGGTCAGGCTAGTTTGCTGGCCAATCAAGAACAGTGATACCATGATCATTAAACCAGGTATTGGTATTTTTGGTGGTGTGAGTAGGTGCCAAGTCCTACTGGAAAATGAAATCAGCATCTCCATAAAGCTGGTCAGCAGAGGGAAGCATGAAGTGCTCTAGAATTTCCTGTATTCTGTGCCTCTCCTATCTTCCTCCAAAATCTGGGACCTTGATTTTCAAATGAAATCTAAAATTTACTTTCATCCGAAAAGAAGACTTTTGACCACTGAGCAATTGTCCAGTCCTTTTTCTCCTTAGCCCAGATAAGACAAGGAATGCAACAGTTGTAGCCCATGTCCTGGATATGTCTGTGTGTGGTGGCTGTTGATGCATTAAAACCAGCTGTAGTCCACTCCTTGTGAATCTCCCCCAACTTCTTGAATGGCCTTTACTTCACATTCCTCTCAAGTGTGCAGTTATCCCCATTGCGTGTGCAGCTTTTTTCTACCACACTTTTTCCTTCCACTCAACTTTCCATTAATATGCTTGGATACAGTACTCTGTGAACAGTCAGCTTCTTTAGCAATGACTTTTGTGACTTACCTTCCTTGTAGAGAGTGTCAGTGACTTTCTTCTGGGACAACTGTCAAGTCAGCAGTCTTCCCCGTGATTATGTAACCTAATAACCCAGACTGAGAGACCATTTAATGCTTCAGGAAACCTTTACAGGTGTTTTGAGTTAATTAGCTGATTAGAGTGTGACACCAACGTCTGCTGGTAGACTCAATTCTTAGTAAATCAGGTCCCAAGAGTCTACAATATTGAACATTTTCACAATATTCTAATTTTCTGAGATACTGAATTTTGGGTTTTAAAATAAAATAAAAGAACAACATGCTTGATATATATCACTCTGTGTGTAATGAATCTATATAATATATGAGTTTCCTTTTTTGAATTGGATTACTGAAATAAATGAACTTTTTTACGATATACTAATTTATTGAGATGCACCTGTACATGAAAGGAAAATAAAACGAGGGATTTTAGTAGATCTCCAACATTACAGCGCATGTAAGGTCAAGCTGAGGTTAAGCTCTGATTACAAGTGCATCGACTTAAAAATAGATGTCTAAAATTGGTCAAAATTTCCCACTCTGTTGGAATGTCTTGTGAAATGGAAAATCTCCAGACAGCCATCAGTTTTATGGCTTTATAAATATATATTCCTATTGCCTTTCTATCTATCTATCTATCTATCTATCTATCTATATCTATCTATCTGCACAAAAATACATAATATGCCAGAATGCATACAGACTACAATATTGAGGGATACCTATTTATAACATTCTGCCAAAAGAAACAATTCCATTGCCTTTCACACTCTGTCATTCTCATTCAGTGTAGTTCTATTTTTAACTTCAAGTGGTAGATCCAAATATTTGTGAGCTGGAAACATCTGGGTTGTTTTGCATGCAGGCACTTATTATACACAGATCAGTGAAGTAAATTAATCATAAACATAAGTGCTTTACAAGGCTAGTCATAATGTAACCAGCTGCTGTGTGCTGTCCTTCTTTTAATATACACATGTACAGCAATTGCAAAAAGGTGTCTGGTTCACACTTGTGCATGTTTATGTGCATTTTGCAGCACACATTATAACAATAAAACACAATTAGAAACACCAAGTTCACAGCCATGCAGGTGTGCAGGCCCATGTTTACACAGGCCTGCAAACCAATCATCTGAATGGGCTGCCGCGCCTTCATTTCCTGCAGGAAAAAGGTTCCTGCACCATTCTAAAAAGGCAGCAGCCGGGAAATCACATGGTCCTTTTGCAACATGATAATCCTTTGGTTCCAAAAACCGTAAATGTGCTGCATTTTAGATGTGTGGGAGTGCCATTCAGAATGGCAGCCCTGTGAGTTTTCAAACAGCAACAGGTTTGGACTGCGGGTTTTGTGGATCCACCTGGATAGATGTGAACCAGGCCTAATGCAGGCCATAGATGGGTCGAAAAATCGGCCGATTTTTCGGCCGAAAATAAAATCGGATGATTTTCGGATCGTTAGTGGGCTAATTGTTTGGCCGTTTTTCGGTATTTTGGCAGATTTTTTTTGATCGGTAAAGTTGGAAAAAATCGGCCGATTTTGCCGATCGGCCGATTTTCGCGACAATGATGGCAAATCAGCTGATCTTTTTACCGATAAAAAAATCTGCGCATGAGCAGTGACCTGCAAGAGGAAGACAAAAAGAAGAAGAAAAAAGAAGAGGATGAAGAATAAGAGGAAGAAGAAGAGGAAGAAGAAGAGGATGAAGAAGAGGAAGAAGAAGAGGATGAAGAGGATGAAGAAGAAGAAGAGGATGAAGAAGAAGAGGATGAAGAAGAAGAGGATGAAGCAGAAGAGGATGAAGAAGAAGAAGAGGATGAAGAAGAAGAAGAAGAAGAGAAGAAGAAGAAGTAGAAGAGGATGAAGAAGAAGAGGATGAAGCAGAAGAGGATGAAGAAGCAGAAGAGGATGAAGAAGAAGAAGAAGAAGAAGAGGAAGATGAAGAAGAGGATGAAGAAGAAGAAGAGGATGAAGAAGAAGAAGAGGAAGAAGAAGAAGAGGATGAAGAAGAGGAATTCCAGTCCGGCAAAAAGTGTCCCTGCAGGGAGCTCCGCTATTTCTTTGACAGTTCCTTGACATTTATAGCGGTTGCAACAATGTATCTATTTGTTTCCGAATAAAAACATCTGTATCCTAAATGGATACAAATAAATACATTGTTGCAGCCACTATAAATGTCAAGGAACTGTCAAAGAAATAGCGGAGCTCTCTGCAGGGACACTTTTTGCCGGCTGTAGACGGGATGAAAATCGGCCAATTATTTTTATCGTTGCTGGTAACGTCGGCCGCTTGAATGACCGATTTTTCGTTTTTTTTAAGGAAAAATTGCCGATTTTCGACCCATCTATGGCCTGCATAAGACTGGAGAGTGTAAAATCTGGTGCAGCTGTGCATTGTAGCCAATCAGCTTTTAACTTCAGCTTGTTCAAAGAACCGATTCCCATCCACCCTATAGCAGTAATACTGCTACAGGGCAGCACGGGTGCGCAAAATACGTATATATACGTGATTTTGCATTTCCGGGTAGGGAGCGCTCACGAGAGCACGCCGCTATTCCTGGCCTCGGCTGTCAATCACCGGGTCCTGGCCGTTGACTACTTGCCGGTACCCAGTGATCAAGGATTATTACCGACGGAGTGACAGAACTGTAAGTAAACAATACAAATTTCTCCCCTGTCAGCTTCTGCACACTGCTATGCATGGCTTTGCATAGCAGAGCCATGCTTAGCAGTGTGCTCACAGTGAAGCACACACACACCACACAGTAAAACAGCACACAGTTAACCCTTTGATCGACCCACATGTTAACCCTTCCTGCTTGGTGCCATTATACAGTGTCAGTGCTTTTTATTAGCACTGATCACTGTATTGGTGTCAATGGGGATGTCAGTGAGACCAAGTCAGTTCCCCCTAGTGTCAGAATGCCTGCCGCGGTCCCGCAGTCCTGCTATAAGTCGCTGATCTCTGCCATTACTAGTAAAAAATAAAAAATAACTTTCACGTAAATAAATTAATTTACACGTATTGGGATTTTTGTTTTTTAGCAAAGACATGTAGCAGAATACATTTTGGCCTAAATTTATGACAAAATTTTATTTTTTTAATTTTTTCACTGAACATGATTAATAGCAAAAAGTAAAAAATATTGTTTTTTTTCTCAAAATTGTCGGTCTTTTTTTTTTTTTAAAGCACAAAAAATAAAAAATGCACAGGCAATAAAATACTACCAAAAGAAATCTCTATTCATGGGAAAAAAAATTACATATATTTCATTTTGGTGCAGCTTTGTGTGACTGTGAAATTGTCAATCAAAGTAACGCAGTGCCGTAACGCAAAAAAATGGACTGGTCAGGAAGGGGGGTAAATCCTCAGGTGAGCAAGTGGTTAAGTTTTGAAAAAAAACAAACAAACTGGAAGCTGATTGGTTTCTATGCAGAGCTGCACAAGAGAATTTGCACTCTCCAGCTTTGGTAAATCAACCCCGCTGAGTTCAATGAAGTCATTCACATATGCATGAAATGGTAGAAATCCTCCTGTGCTCAAAATGGGTTCTAACTCTCAAGATGCTGGCACTAACCTCTTTACCAACATGAGTGAAATGACTAAATATATATACAAATAGTGCAGCGCTACAAATGAATAAATGAATACAAATAAATACAGAACTTCCCAGTGCATACAGGGAGTAAAAAATATACACAGTGCAAAACATGCGTCGCGTTGCGTCAGTACGCGAGGAGGCATTTCCGGGTGCACGGTGACGACACTTCCGGCGTGGGAGCCATATTTGAAAATCCTGTATTATATACCCATGCAGTACAATTCCAGCATGTGGTAGACATGCAGTGTCAGAGGCGAAGGATTATGTGAGTGGGCATTTTTATTTGTTAATACCTTAATAAAAATGTTTTACACTATGGAGGTTTTCTGTCTATATATGACCTGGAGAGAACATCATTGACTGGGCTGTGTATAGGAAGATTGGAATACGTTGAAGTGGATTTGGGCTAATAATCCTGATACCATCCTGAGGGGTTTATATCTCTGAGCGAGCTGACCCTGTAGGGTCGACATAAGGAGGTGAGGGGGCACTTTAGCCATTCAGGATTTGCACAAGAGTGAACACGTTTTAGCAGCTGCATGAGTTTTTTTCTGAGCACCAAGATTGGACCTTTGATATAAAGTTGTATGAATATTATTGTGATGAGCACCAATATTGGACATTTTTATATATAAATTTGTTGGATATGTTTTTCACGAGTGTTGGATTGGACACTGGTCACATGTACACTTGATTACACATTTTGCACTGTGTATATTTTACTCCCTGTATGCACTGGGGGGTTCTGTATTTATTTGTATTCATTTATTAATTTGTAGCGCTGCACTATTTGTATATATATTTGTTCACATATGCATGCTGTGTTGCAAAAAAATGAGGCATGTCCAATTTTACATGTACTTATCTGCATTTGCTAGCCCACTGAAATCTATGGAAGTATGAGGTTTGACAATTTAATTCTGCCCATGGCGTGGCACTGTGGTGGTGGTGAGTCACATAGCTATTCACACTCAAGCGTGTGCTGAAATGTTCTAACTTGCACTCAATTGGGTCGCAGACCAGTTGACTCAATCTTTATGGAGTAGTAGAGGAAATAACATGTGTGTGCATTGCACTGTTGCCAGAAAATGAGTGATAGGCATCTGGAGCAGCGGATTAACATCAAACTTTGTGTGAAAATTGCCAAAGTGCGAGTGAAACTTTAACTCTGTCACTTGTTACTTATGGTGAACAGTCCATGAGAAAATGAAGTTTTTGAATGTCATAGGCGGTTTAAGGTGGGGCAGGAAGATGTCCATGATAACGCAAGAAGTGTGCAGCCAATAATGTAAAGGACAGATGCGAATGTGGAATATGAAAAGGTTACAGAAATCTGTTCAGAAGAAAAGACCGAAACTCTGACCTGACAAGTGAATTCTTCACCACGACAATGCCAGTTACCATAATGGTTTAAGTGTTCGCGATTTCCTGTCACAGAAATTCCGAAACTTGACCAACCACCTTAGAGCTGATTCAGACATGTGCGGATTGGAGCTCAGGTTTCACAGCTAATTGATACAGTAATTGCTCAAAGATTCATGTCAGGTTTATATCAGGTTCAGGACAGAATTAGCTCAGGATCTTATCTGTTCACACATATGCGATTTGAAAACGGTTTGCATAGAAATCAATAGCCTGTAATCCATACCTGAACTGGAACTCACTGCTCAGAAATTGGACATGACTCTTTTTAGAACTGAACTGAATCAGCACTGAATCTGCACTGCCAGTGCACCGGACATATGTGAACAGGCACCATATATGTGAACGGGCATGATAGGAAGCAATGTTTTTTCACATGTTATTTGGATTGGATGCAGATTTAGCATCCTGTGACTTTTGGATGTTTCCAAAAAAATACCTTAAAAGGACATAGATGTGATGACATCCTGAACATCCAGAGAGGCACAAGAAAGATACTGCGCAGCATTTCTGAAAACATTTAAGGAATGTTTCAGGAAGTGGCACAGTCTTCTAGAAAATTGTATTGCTTCACAAGGGGACTACTCTGCAGGTGATAACAGCCGCTAGTGTATAGTTTTGATTTTTTTGTATAGTCCATTCGTGGAATTAAATTGTCATACCTTGTACATGAAAATTCATATATCTGCTATGTGCTAAGCCACAATGAAGACTGGGACAATTGCTGCAGCATCTGAGAAAGGCAGTGCAAAATCAGCCATGTTTCCTCTAAACCAGTGGTCTCCAAACTGCGCCCGGGGGGCCAAATGCAGCCCTTTGCTTGCTTTTATCCTGCCCTCAAGCATTAGTTCTCCCACTGCAAGCAACAGTGTGGCATAGTTTCTCTCACTGACATCAGCAAAGGAGCATTATTCCTCCTATTGACAACAATGATGGGGTGCTATTCCTCTATTGATACTAATGATGGGGCACTTTTCCTCCCATTGATACTAACGATGGGGCACTATTTCTCCCATTGATACCGTGATGGAGCACTATTCCTCCCAATGATACCAATGATGGGGCACTATTCCTCCCATTGACATCAAGTATGGGGCACTATTTCTCCTATTGAAACCAGTGATGGGGCACTATTCCCCCGTTGATACAACAATGGGACACTATTCCTTTCATTGATACTAACGATGGGGTACTATTCCTCCCATTAATACTAATGATGGGGCACTATTTCTCCCATTGATACAAGTGATGGGGCACTATTCTTCCCATTGAAACTAACGATGGGGCACTATTTCTCCCATTGATACCAATGATGGGGCATTATTTCTCCCACTAATACTAATGATGGGGCACTAGTTCTCCCATTGATGCCAATGATGGGGCACTTTTCGTCCCATTGATACTAACGAAGGGGCACTATTATGCCCCCTAATACCAATGATGGTGTCCTATTCTTCCTCCTAATATCAATGATGGGGCCCTATTCTTCCTCCTAATACTAATGATGTGGCATTGTTTACTCCCACTGATGCCAGGACATTTTCTTCTCTCACTAGTCACAGTCCGGCCCTCCTAAAGTTTGAAGGACAGTAAACCGGCCCTTTGTTTAGAAAGTTTGGAGACCCCTGCTCTAAACCATACACTGAAAACCAGGAAGCACATTCCCTCATGATGTCACTGCAGACCAAGCATCCTCATTGGTTAACAATATAAATGCACAGCACATAAAAATGCATGTACCCATTATATAGCCCTATAGGTTTATGCTGTCACAGATTGCGACTGAGGGTTTTATATCCCTACCATATCTATAGGTGTTCCCACCCAAAAGGTCCTCCTTCTTCTTCAGGCATACCCTTTGTCCACTGAGATTTCACCTGTTGGACATGACAGGACTGATACTGTTAGTTCTAATGATCTTATTGTATTTTTCACTTGGTATGTAATATTTTTTTTATACAAGTTATTTGATACAAGCTTATACTGTATCTCTTTGTATTTTTCTGTGCATTTATAAATAAAAATAAAATAAAAAAAAAGTACAACACACTAAAATGCACAACAAGCGCTTAAAAAAAAAATGGAAGTCATAATGCATGACAGCAGAAATGGAGAGATGTGAACAGGGACTTAGTGAAATTTAAAATACAGCTATTTCCTGTAGGTGGGCAGATTATCCATGATATTATTTAATAGGATTCAAAACATGACAGTTTTGAATTATTATTATTATTGTGCCAACAGTTGCAGTATGTATGGTAACATACGCTTGTATGCATGAAAGGGCCCTATGCAGCACAAAGCTGTGAACTAGCTACACAGGATAGAATTAAATATCAATCTGAAATGCATCTTAATGCAGTAGCTTTTATGCATTTTACTTCAGTTAATAAGACAAGTGTATAAACTGTGTGACTGCACTGATTTTCAAGAATACATATCATAAAACTATAGAACAGCTGCATAAAAAAACAGAACTACAGTGATACCTCAGTTCACAAACACTTCTGTTCACAAACAACTCGATTAGAGAACAGAATAGTTCGCAAAAATTTGCTTCGGTTCGCGAACTCCGCTTTGGTTGACGAACATGAGCCGTGGCCATCTTCCCTGCTCTGGCACGTGGTTCTGACTTCCTGTAGGCTAGATCGTGGTCACAAACAGACACTGAAAGTGTACTGTGAAGATACTTACAGTACTGAGAAGCTTTTTGGTGTGCTTTTTAGCACATACTGTACAGTACTGTACTTTACATCCCTGTGCACACTTGCTGTAAAGCTTTTTGTGTGCTTTTTAGCACATACTGTACCGGATATCCAGTATGGCTCCAAAGAAAATTCAGAGCAAGCATGGTGGTAAGAAGAAAGTGTGGAGCAGTAATGAAGGTGACAAGAATGTGCAGAGCAAGCATGTTGTT